GTAATACTTTTTCTACTATATATATATATATATATATATATATATATATATATATATATATATTATTAATTATATATATATAAATATATACATAAAACAAATGTGATGTGTAATGTCCTGACCTTGTAAGGTGAAACCCTAAGAGCATAAACTGTGGATGCTGGATGCTGGAAGTCTGATGGGTCAGCCTCCTTTCACAGCTACAATTACCTCACCAACCTGCAATTACTGAGTCAACATCAGCCTTGTTAGCTAAATAATCTAGATTCAAATGAGAGCCAGATTGCCAAATAAAGCTCAGTCCAAACTGGGTCATGCAGTCATTGAACTTAATTTGAATTGAATTTTAATGGATTTTTTAGCTGCTTTATTCCGAAAATAATACAAGTGGAACCTGCTTTGGTTAATGTACTTTTATTTAAGATTTATATTAAGAATTTTAGAACCTTATGAATTAGGTAATTATCAATGAGTATTATTACACTATGTATTAAAAAAAAAAAGGGGCGTACTTCTTACAATTATTAAAACCATTTATAATGTATTGAATGCAATATGATGCTGTAAAGAGTTTTTGAAATCCTGACATTTTTCATCTGTAAGTTCACAAACTGAAAAAAAAAATCTCTAACTGCAGCCTTAACTCTCAGCCACAGTGCAAATCATGCTGATAAGCAAAGAACTCTGCAGAGAGAGTGTCATGAACGAAACACAGGAAAGAACACAAAAAAAACATCCAGTATGACACTGTCATTGAACGCAGAGGACACAAACTTACCTATGACATAGATAGTCCTTGAATACTCCAGATTAGATACCTCTCTGTCTAAACTAGTGTCTGCAACACTCATGGAGACCAAAGCACAGATCATCAAGGGAATCATCTTCACTCAACACACGGGCTCCGATCACTGCAGAAAAACACAGATAAAGTTCATTGGCATCTGCACAAAAGGTTAATGCTTAGTAAAATTTTCCTGAAGGATATTGCAATTTTTGCACAGTAGAAAGCTCATGCATATGCATCCCTGGATAACAGTGTTCCTTCTGCATGGGTCTAACTTGCAAGATCTGTAACAACCACAGAGAAGCAGAGCATACAATCTAAAAGGAACATGCAAACTCTAACAGTCTCACTGCAAAGTCGACTCAGCAGATAAAATAATCAGAGATGCAGAAACTGGATGTCAGACGAGAACCCTCAGAAGAGAGTAGTGAAGAAGCCCGACATACTCTGAATGAATCATAGTGTACCTACTGTGTGGGAAATACCAGCAGCGTGAGGAAGCAGCATGTCCTATTCCCAACAGCAGATCCAGCTTGCAGGCAGACTGCCACAGCACAGAGTGACTGCCTCACAGTCAGCTTCTCTCAATCTCAACTGTGACTTTGCGAGTACAATAATAAGGATAAGCTAACCCTCTCCTTCTGGGCAGGATTTAGACCGCCCCAGAAAGTTTCTATAATTAAGACAAAAACTTAAGCTGACTGATAAAACTTTATAACCCTTTGAAAACTAACACACAAAATTACTTGAGCATCGCTTTACATCACCTACATTTCTGAATGTACATACACGGCAGGGGCGGATCCAGGATTTTTCAAAGGCAAGACAAAGACAACGTGACACTAAATGACCAAAAACACACCTTCTTTACTCTTTTTGGAGATGAGAATATGCGCAAGGTGGCATCTTATTTTCACGAAGAGGTGTTTTTCTAAAGAACTCTGATAGTTTGGGTGGAATTGATGTTGGTAGCAGACCGATTGGTAAACAAATCCACACTAGATGATCTAAAATGGTGGACCGGCATCGTCACAGAGACGGACTATCTATTTTCACCCCTTGCTTTTTACTTTTCATGGCTAAAAAAATGACCTTTGGTGGGTTATCACGACATGTGAGTTTATTTTATGGAAATACAATTGGATATTACTTTTTTGTGGAGTCTAAAGGACAAAATGAGACCGTTTTTTACCATGATCAATGAACCACCTGACCGGCAGAAGAGGTAAACAAGGTAAGAGCTGGAAGTTATGAATCATAAATTGAAGTCGGATTATTAGTCATTGCTGTTTGTAGTTTATGGTTGGCTTACAATAGAGCTTATGGTTGTTTTCCTTGGTGTTGAATGATTCTTAAGAGGTACAACTTATTGGGATACCTAAAAGTGTGATATCCATCCATCCATTTTCCATCACACTTTATCCCAGCTGGGGTCGCTGGTGGCTATGTCAAACCGTCTACAGGCGAGAGGTGGGATACACCCTGGACCAGTCCATCGCAGGGCAACACAGAGACAAACAACCATTCACACACACACCTACGCAGCATTTAGAGAAGCCAATTAACATAATAGTCATGATTTTGGACTGGGAGAAGAAGCCAGAGAACCCAGAGAGAACCCACGCATGCTCAGGGAGACCATGCAAACTCCATGCAGAAAGACACCGGGCCAGGAATTGAACCGGGAACCTTCTTGCTGCAAGGAGGCAGGGCTACCCACTGCCCACCATGCAGCCCACATGTGTGATATATGATGTGGAAAGGTAGCCTTGAGTATCCCATGATTCATTTAGAGTCCAAGCAAGCCGGGGTTTTTCTTTTTCAGAAATGTCTAGTTTCTGAAAATATAAACTAAAATAGTGTGACTAAAGCACAACCTAAACTGCAGCAGTTACAACATGGCTCATATTTGTTATTTTTCTTCTCAAAAATAATAGGTCATATTTGAATAGCAGTAACAAAGATATGCTTGACAATAGGTATGTGTAATTGTATTACATTTATTCAGCATGATGTCAACCAAAACTGCAAAAAAAAATGTCAGACCTTTAGGTATAACAGTGCTAGAGCTATAGGACTTTTAACTTCTGGTATCAGTAACTTCTCCAAAAGTGTCAGTTTATGCCAAATTGTGCTTATTGCTTTCACACAACTATTTTACCCAAAAACTCACGCAGAAGCATTTTGATGGCCACAAAACATTTTTGAAGCAACTTTTTTTTTCATCCAATTATCTAACAGTGCAATGATCCAGGATCGAATCCGTCTGCGTGGCGTTTAAGATTGGTGATATATCAGGTCTGGACAATTCAAATTAGCCATGCTTACCCTTGTTTGAAAGGTAATTTGATTGGTTACAAACATTCTGTTTCCCTTAACTCCCAGTCGGCCTCAGCAACTCACACTGAGTCTGGTTCTGCTACATGTTTTTCCCTGTTAAAAAAACAAAAAAAAGGATTTTCTTTTCAACTGTCTCTGCATCCATGCCTAATGTGAGGGATTTCTGTGGAGTCAGGTACACAATTCCAAGAAATGTCTGCTGTCGCCACCTGCTCATCCAGAAGGAGTGAATCCTGCAAAGTCAATAACTGGATACAATCAGCAGAGTTTCCTTAGATAAACATTTTTCAACCAATTTTACTGAATATTCTGATTGGAACTGAATTAAACGTAGTAGTAATGAATTTTGGTGTGGAGAAAATTAGCTAATAGAAATTAGTGTTTTCTTCTTTTTTTGTTGATAAAATACAACATAGGCAATTGCTTTAAAAAGTCACCAAGATAGAAAGCACTATTACCATAAAGATGTGTAGATGCAGGCCCCAAAGATTTTGAGGGAAGAACCAGGGGTGGAGCTAGATGGGGGCCAGGCCACCCTTAGCCAATCATTGGCCACCACTACCATTTTCCCTCTAATACAGATGGTGAGAGCAGTAATACTCATTAATAATAATCATTATTGATAAAAGTAAGTAAGTAATGACGATGGAAAAGATGTTCACCCCAGAACTCAAACCTGAAAGAATTTGATCCACTATACAATTTATCTAAAATGCACGGATGGTGAAATACATGCATCTATTTGTTAACAAAGGTTTTAGAAGAGTGTAGTTTGTCTTTATTTAGAAAATATGGATGTTGTCCTTGTTCATTTTCCTGTTGGAACACTGTAGCTTGACCCTGAGGTTCTGGCGCCTATCCACTTTCGGCCAACCCTCAGTGAACATTGGTTATTGCCTGGTCACAATTATTAACAGTTTCAGGCTACGCCTCTGTGAGGAACATAAGTTAGACCAGGGAACATGGCAGACAGGTGAGGGAGAAGCTTTTGGAACTGAGAACATCTCATTCTGCTGTCATTTCTACTAAGTCTGTTTGTGCGTGGGCAGCAGAGCAACACCACCAGGTGAATTCACAGGGAGGAAAGATTTATTAATCTATGATGGACAAAAAAAAAGAAACAATAGGCGACTACAAACATAACTTCAAATTTAAATTTGCTGGGGAGTTAACAGAAACAACGGCACAGATACGTCCTATATCAGAGGTCATGGATTAGCGGACCGTGGTCCGGATCCGGACAAACCAGCTGGCCAACCTGATTTAAAACATTTATAATTTACCCCATAATGTCCGACGGCAATGTCTAATTTCAGTGGTGCCACTTCTCCTGTTAATATGGTAAAACCCTCCAGAACATAAAACAAATGAGTCAATGAGCTGCTGTCAGTCTGGGTTGCTGCTGCTGCTACTTTTAGACACAGCAGGCAAACCTGTGGCAAGCCGGGCGATGGAAAGGAAGGAGAAGATGATGAGAAAAAGAGAGCAGAGAAAGTGAGGACTGCTGGAAGAACTGTGGTGAACTGGTGAAAGAAAAGTGAAATGGTGTTCTCAAAGATGACCCTGCACATTTAGAGGATGTTTGGCTCAACCTGCTGCTGTGAAGCAGGATTCTCCACCATGAACAGAATCAAAAATAAATATGGATCCAGGCTCACCATGAGCTCCTTGATATGTGCTTTAGAATGGCTTTGTCTCTATTCAAACCCAGGATTAAAGCCTTGCAGGGCAGCCTAAAGCCCAATGTCTCCGGACCTTTACTGTTTGATGATTTTCTTTATTCGGACCACACTGGTTTTTAATTGGTTACCCCTGGTCTATATCCTTCCAAAACATTTATTATAGATGAAAAATGATAAATGAATAAATGAAAACTGGTTCATGTTGGAGTTGTGAACTATTATAAACTGTGTGGGTGATTTTGTGTGTCCATTGGATGTTTGAGCATCTTTTACTACTGGTACTGGAGTACAGCTGTGTGTGCAGTAATAATCAATGAGACGGATCTTTCGCTCCTCTCACATCCTACTTTCTTCATTCATTCAATTGTAAACTGCTGATGCACTGGTTGTTCCTGCCAGGTGGACGTCCTGCAGTCAGCAGAAACACCGCACCCCCCCCACACACACACACACAAACACACACACACACACACCCCAACTACACTCGTTATAGGTACATCCTTAATACCCCTCCCTGCTTCAAAAACGTCTTTCTTGTGCCACAAAGATGATTTGTGGAAAAAGATAACATGTCCTTTTTAAAATTGAGGAAAAGTTTGAGTCACTGCAGGACACAAGAAATATCAGCATCCCATGGCACAGGGATATGAAGACAGTCAGGTGCAGCTATGACTTAGCTAAAGAGGGAAGGGAGGGAGGTGGAGGAGGCAGAGAGGACTATGCAGCAAAAAATGATGCAGTTAAAGCATCAATGGTGCATTTAGCAGCTTTTAACATATGACTGCATCCAGTCCTTGGCTTTGCAGGATTCTCTATTCTGGATGAGCAGTGAGAGACAGTAGGCATTTGCTTGCTCAATGTCGTTGATTCTGCAGAAATCTCTCACACTAAGCATGCAGTACAGAGAAGTACAGAAGAAAACCCCCTTTCAACAAAAATACATTTCTCATTATTTTTTTAATTGCAATGTTAAAGAGTGTTATTTTAGTTCATAGTTCTGCAACCATACCCTCTGAGAAAAAAAAAAAACGTAATTAGAAATCCAGGGGCTCAGAGAAGCCTGTTCAATCCTCCCTGAACTTATGTTGTTTGGGTGTGGCAA